TAGGTCTCAGCAGGCAAAAAATAAGGAGGATAGTGGCCTTTTTAACAGGACACGCCCCCTGCAAAAAACACCTCTTCAGGATGGGACTGAGCGATAAACCGACCTGCAGGGATTGCGAATTAGAGGACGAAACTACTCTGCATGTTATGTGTCACTGCACGTCATATGCAACAGGTACACGCAGACTCCTGGGAGGGGATGGAATTCCAGAAGAGAACCAGACCAGATCATGCAAACTCCCCTCAAGATTCTTCTGGAATTCATTGAATATACAGGGATAATGAGGGAGTTAAATTACGAGGGCACAATAGGACAGAAATCACCGCGGTGCAAGGCCAAACACCACCTCGGCGGTGACGAAAGGGTTTTAGTGGGTAAACAGCAAAGCTGGAGTCCCACACAGCCCAGAGCGACAGACCACCAGCTCTGGGAGTGCATAAAAGAGCATTTCCCAAACCTCACCGAAAAAAAAATGGCTCTGCGACACTATGTATACAGGACCCGCTGTTATTATACAGGGAGCCATTTAAGACACACCATTTTTTGGCTCTTCACAAATCGTCATACAGTTAATAAAATCCCATTCCACGATATTTTCTAAACAAAACATGTGTACTTACTTGTTTGAAGTGGATATCTCTAATCGTTTTCGAGATATTGCGCATTGTCATCACAACATCTAGTAATTTTTTGAGCTAATTGGATATCTATCTCAGATTGGATATCCAAATAAAATATTTTTTTTGCGCAAATTTTCTATTAAACAAAACTTAACAAACATTAGACCGTATTTATGTAGGCATGTTCAGAACTATTTTAGACCACTTTTTGAACCCAGTAAAATATTTGAAAATGATTATTTCATAATAAATCTTCAAAATAACTAACTTTAATACATATATAAATATCTCGAAAACGGCGAGAGATATCGAATTTGAATAAGTACAGATATTTTGTTTAAAAAATACAGTATAATGTAATTGTACCAACCGTATGACGATTTTTGAAAAGGCAAAAAAGTCCTGATGTCTTAAATGGCTCCAGACTATTGCAGCTTGTGCCCTCTAGAAACCACAAGCCCCCCAATAGGAGTTTAGATTTGCCGATCTAAAAAACCCCCAAACACAAATTTTTTGTGGTACTAATAAAACTGGTTAAAAATCTATTCAGAAAAAACGAAATTTGTATTTACACTTTGACACCCTGTATCTCGGAATATATTAACTTTCGCGTAAGATAAATTTACCTGAAACGCAATATTTTGGGCTAAACAATATGTCAGTGAATTTTTCGACATTAGTTGAGGACCACCCTGTATATTTAACGTTCCTGAAATAAAATCCTTAACACTATTTAAAGTATTAACATTTGCGTGAACTAACAATCCATTTTGGCAGCAATTACCTTCCGCAACTTTTCCCATAATCAACTCGTGTGAGAAATACAGCATATTATATGGGATTTTACAAGCAGGCGGAAAGTTGCGTAGAGGCTTAATAATTGTCGCATCTTGCTAGTCTGTAGAATAATTAAGGCGACTTAGAAGAGCCAAACATCAGAACATATAATATTTAATGACAAGTTTTGAGCGAATGCAGGCGAGTTTGAAAGAACTACGCATTGAGAAGGTTATATATTTTGGTATCTCAAAATATGAGCTCAAAAGCGCTTGAATCTGATACTGCGCTATAGCGGTTTCACAAAATGTGATAATTTATGAATCTAATGCAGTGAGATCGGCAGCATTTCATAAACAACCGGTTAGGAAAGATTCAATTCAATCAACTAATTAATTTAAAAATTCGGCCGTTCTGCTGATTTGCCCGTTTATTGCTTGCAATTTTCCCGCCACTGCACCTAGATTTATCAAATACTGAAATAAAAGGCAACGAAATCTGGGAATTAAATAACGAGTTTTTCAAACGCAAAATATTCCAGTGGATTTTTCCTAATTCCTTGCAAAATGATCGGAAAGATGGCAAGGTCCTGCATAACGAAAATTTCGGGATCAGTTCTGGAACGGCGCCGGGCGAGATTCTGCGCGATTTCCAGGAGACAAATCGTCTCCAACACCGCGAATTTGAAATTTAGTTTGTACGTGGAACGTAATCAGAACTGAGGTCTAGCTATCACGAAGCGCTTTCACTCAGCTATCGGTTAGCCACACAGTGTTAACTGTTATTTTCATCCCTATCGCAAATTAGCTTTCGTGGATTGTCAGGTGCCCCTGTGTACAATTTTTTTCTTTTTGTGGTGAACTTTGAACAGACTTGTGAAGTGTATTGGAAAAACTTACAGCCGGCTTTGAAGAACTGTACAACGTAAGTTTAGAACTTGAAACCTGTCTACAAATATAAATAAAAGCATATATTGATTGACAAAATTAAGTTCTGGAACTATATTTTGTCATATAGTCGAATGAAGTGGAACTAGTTATACATTGCAACAATAATTATTGTAATATCCAGCACGTGTGCTCATAATTAGTTACCGAATTAAGTAGAGTTACTCATTTCATACAACTAGTCTATAAATATTTAGGTTTAATATGATACATTTGATGATTCCCAATTAGTACTTCTACAATTAATTTTAAATTAAAATAGATTTCAGAATGTAACCGAATCGCTTTAGACTGACAGCGATAAAATGGTCAAACGAAAATTGTCAAAAAGCTTTTTTGAATGAAAGCCTAATCAAATTTGGATTTTCCCATTTTAATAAATCGCAGTATACCACCATATTGCAAAATAATATTAATTTGAATGTTTTCCTGTTGTATATCATAAACACAGCATTGAAAACCGTATTTGATTGTTCCAGTATAATATTAAATTTCTGTTTATTAAACAAAAAGGCCTTAGTGGCTACAGTGGATTGTAATTAAACAAATTCAATTAGTCAGGCATCATAGTTACAATAATACCGACATTTCGACGAGAAGAAAACATTTTATTGAGAATACGTTTACATTCCTTAATCGCTCTGATACTGGCGTTCTTTTCCATCAAGCAAAATTTCAATATTTAATTTATTTTTGTGTATTCAGCGGGTTGATTCCGTTAACGAGAAGCAGTAGCTAAATTTGCAATTAAAGCCAAGTGAAGCTGTTAGGAAGCTAAGTGCCACTTCAAGCTTTAACCATCTTACAAATTATAGCACTTTAAATAATATTGTTTGTCATATTGAAGGTCCTGCTTTAATCGTGCTACCCAGTGGAAGCCAGAACGTTTCAGTTGTTTTGCTTGAATTTTGTCCATATTTGGCTCCCTATGAGAATATTGCCTAAAGGCAAAGATAAATATGTGTTGTCTAGCTCCAGTGCTGAATAAACGTGGCCATGACAATGAGACCAACAGCGGCGAAATATATTTGGATAAAGTCGGCGGTTGTTTTGATTTAACTGGTTTTCAATCTCTTCTTCTGCAGTTGTGTTTGTGTTCGACCGATCTTATGAAGGAAGGAAGGAACTTACAGATCGCACTGCTAACTTTCCTGAGTAAGGAATGTTTTGTTACATTCCTCGGCTCATTTACACATCGTTCTTTAAAATAAACTTGGTTTCAAATTGGGCAAACTTTAGATTACTAACATTTACCATCTTACACACAGTAGACCCGAAGTTGGTGCCTGGGTGGTGACAAAACAGAACAAAGAATTGTTCATCGCAAGGAGAAAACAATCTAAAATACGCTCAAATAAATTAACACGAATGAAGTATCGCAGCGATAAATACCTTTAAGTTTTAATTAGCGCTTTCTGAAAATTAATCTGTGCACTCAGGATGTACGCAAAGTTTCGAAGCAAGAACAAGTTAAGTGCACGGTTCCTGTATTCACACAAATAAGAATAATTTTGCCATGGTCTCCTGAAACAGCAAAGCCATCTGGCCATCAACATCGGGACGCTTAAAAATCAGTGAATACACAAATTAATTTTAATGAATGTAATTTGATTGAAGCAGAATGTAAGAGTTCTTGTGTGGTGAAGGTGATAAGACAATGCAATGTTGGTCGTTTGAAATCCTTTAAAGGCGCCCAGAAGCCCTAAGTTGTAGAATAAGACGCCGCTTGTTGTTACATTTTCATTAGAAAAGAAGCTTTATATTTATTTCAATCACGGTAATTACTTATTTATAGTAAAGCTAATGCATGCTTTCTTTCCCTAAAAATTCGCTATTATATTGCCATCGGATCGATTTGTACAGCGTTTTATTGGGATTCAGTTCTTTGTGACATCAACAAACTTATTCTTCCTTCTTTGCACTCAATTTAATGTGTGGGCATGCCTTATAATCAATAGTTCGTTTCATTTCGGTAATTTTCTAAACCCAAGCAAGCCAAAAATAGCTAAAATTAGGCGTTCATTCAAAAAAGAGCGACACTCAAGAATGAAACATCCGACAAGCCATTGAGTTTACTAATGAGCTTTGCCAGACATATTGAAGCTGCAGAAAGCCAGGAATTAGAAAATTTTGGAAAACTAAATATTTTGTTAATATTCATGCTTCAAAAAGGCGATTGTAAATTCCTCAAAAAGCGCTCTATTTGATTTGATACAAACGATCGCTAGGCATATGAAAAATAAAAATTTGGAAATGGGAATAGCACTCAATTGTTCATAGTCATTTGATAGAGATTTGCTTACTTGAAAGTGTATTTTCTTAATTTAAAATCAATTGTGGATATAAACACTCGAAAAATGACTAATTTGAACAAATAAATTAAAATGCAAATAGATAAGAATGAGGCAAAAAATACATTTACATTTCGAGCTTCATGCAAAATAAAAATTGTGGCAAATAAATGGTCCACAAGAAACAATGAAGTGTGAAAAGTGTGGCGCGCTTATGTTTAGAAGCAAATCAGGCCAGGCATGGATTAATTCTTTTAATTAAATTGCAACTGCATAATTATTTATTTAATTGAAATTCCGTAAATCCCATTTTAGGAAACTCTGGAATATTGCAATGAAAACCCCAGTAAATCTACATAGTACCGTAATTGACTATCTAATAATATTAACGCTGCAATATTTTAATCATTAAGTTACAGTGATCTGAAAACCATAAATGGAAATTTACAACAAAAGATATTTTCTAAACAGGTCGTAAACAGGAAAATTACAAAATTACATTCGGTTAATAAGTACTAATGCAGTTCACCCTATAATAACATATACATTTACTAATTTCCCTTAAAATTTATCTCAAAATTGGAATCAAATGGTTAATAAGAATTTGCATGATTTCCTTTGACCATCTGGTATTAAATGCTGAATTTGTCAAATAACCAATGGAGCTTTAATATTTTCAATTAATTGGAATTTACATTTATCATCTATTATTAGATATGTTTGCTACTAAATCGATACGTTATTAAACAGTTCATAACACGACAAAGTAATTATTAGATTATTAATAAGGAAAAAGGCATTGAAATAAAATAACTATGTATTTATCTCAACACAAGCAGAACGTATTTTATTATGTTGTTGATACAACGAGTTCTTTAAGGCTCTAATTATTAGACTGAAATTCATCGATATAATTCGGTTGAGCTTAACCATTGATGCTTAGATCAGCGACTCAAAATTACGAGTCGAATTCTCTGAATATAAACATGGATTATGGCTTTTCTCCTTTTTGCTGACAAAGAGGAATTATAACATTTATGTGGTGTTTCCAATAGTAATTTAATGAATTGGTGAAGAACATGTTTTTATGTGAATTTGTGGCAGCTGATATTATTTAAATTTAAAATTCTGAAGAAATGGTCTTGGAAGTACTGCTTTAATAAACACTCCTTCAAAAACAAAGCTAAAATGGATGTTAGCTGAATTTCCAATTTATTTTAATAAACAAACAGACTATTTGTTTAATTGATTTTTTTTCTAAAATTGCCCTAGTAATAATACTTTTTTTTTCGCTAACAGACAGGATCTCGGTTCGTATTTTTGTTCTCAGAAGAATCGAAATTTAGTTGAAATGCGACCAACAAAATTTGCAACAGTTTTGTTACACTACTAACTCGATAGCTTAAACAGTGAGAACATTTGGAAAACTGATTGAAATTATCAAGAATACCAGAGAATCCATCAGAGAAACTATGGCTTTTTACCCACTAAATTTATACAATAGATGTATATATACAATAGATATAGAATATAGATAAATAGTAGCTGATTAATCCGCTAGACTTTTTCATGTGGAAACTGGCAACGGAAGATCAATCTTCAGTGAGAAAACGGAATCCAAATCATCCAGCATATTTCCTTGACTTTAGCAATATAAGAGCATTATTTTGATTAATGTTCCTGACTGCGTGTAATTGTTAATATTTTATTTACGTTTCTGGGCTTCAGTCACCGTGTGAAACAATTTTTTTTTAATATCGTTTATTTCGTTACGTATCGGCGAGACAATAGCGCCATTATCAGATTTTAAAATTCATTCAAACTACAAACACAAATTTACAATTAAAATATGTTGTACAAAAAATGTAATTTATAAAGTGTTAAAATATTCATTAGTTCTTGAGGAAAAAGAAACTTTCCTTTCGGGAGAGCAAAGCATTTAAACAACTTACCTCATAATTGGTAAACATTATATTCATTTATGTCTTTCCTGTCTTGAAACCTTCAATTTGTTTGAATTATTTTCTACAGTTGCGAGAATGGTATGTATGTATTGAGATAAGCGAAAATAGTTTTAATTTTTCACTAGTGAATGGGGTGTTCTATACTTATGGCTTTTTTAGGGTTTGGTAAATGTTGCTCAGGTTGTCGGTATATGGTCTGAAATTTACTGCTTTTGTATATTTTTTTGTTTGCGTCATTCCTTGGATTCTTCTTTTATGATAATTTGTTTCCCTAGCTAATATATATGTGCGTTGTCAAAATCGAAATAATGTACCATTTGGTGTGCATGTTGTGTTAATGCTGTTTGATTTTCACTAGAATTTCTCAGACTGTATTTATGATCCTACATTCTCCTTTTTAAATATTGTTTAGTTTGTCCCATATATGTATTATCACATTCTAAACAATTCACTCTATATACAGTATTTGGTACATCCATTCTGTCAGTTTTTCGTTTTAGTTTTGGGAAACATTCAGTTGATAAGTTATTTTTTCTTTTTTCGCAATTATAATGTTGTGTGGTTTTAGTATTTTTGAAATGTTTTTATACATTTCTGGAATATAGGGTGGTGACATATATGTATTGTTGCTTTTTTCCTCATTATTGTTATATTTAGTTGAGTTGTAAATTTAATTAATTCTTCTCTTTATTATTGGCTCAGAAAAATTTTTTGGGTAGTTA